TCGATTCAGAGATGGTCTTTCCCTTTTTACGTAAATGGCCTCCTTAACTCCGCGCTCAAACCAGCGTTCCTCCCTGTCCAGGATGTGTACATCCTCATCATTTAAAGAGTGTCCACTGGCCTGTAGGTGTAAATAGACTGCGGAGTCCTGGCCTGACGAGGTAGCTCTTCTGTGTTGTGCCATCTGCTTAGCCAGAGGTTGTTTGGTTTCCTCGATGTATAAATCCTGCCAATCCTCCTGGCACTTAACAGCGTACACTATGTTACTCTGTTTGTGTCGGGGGACCCGATCCTTGGTGAGGCCCAATTTTTGGCGCAGCGTGTTTTGGGTTTTAAAAGCCACAGAGATCCGGTGTTTAGAAAAAATGCATCTCAACTGCTCCGATACTCCTGACACATACGGGATCACTACAGGTTTTCGCTTGGGCAGCAGTATGTGCAGTTATATCAGTTTGCTGCATTAACGCAATTGCAGTGTAAATCCAGATTTTTTGTGACAACATGTAAAAGTCCCATTCAGATCACCTGAAATATACCAGAATACTTATTATACAGTGGGGTGTCGCCATACACCTTGTTAGGGAACCTTTTATTTACCCTAAGAAGTAAAAAAACAATAAAGGAGCTTCTTGGATAGCTATTTTTTTCTTTTTCCTTTCACTCATGGTTTCTCAAAAGCAGATTCAAATACTGCCAAAGGCTTTTATTTGTTTTCTGAGAGAGTGCAGTGGTAAAACGATGACTTCCCACACAAATATAAAATAAATATAACCCATGTCTATTGAAATTTGGTTTGATAGCCAAGTCGTGAGCTGCCAGAGGGGTGAACTGAGCTGCTAGGAATTCATTATTTATTTTTAAAGTTTTTAAATGGTACCATTTAATGCATCATAGTATAAATAAGGCTACTGATACAAGAAACATGCATCACATAAATATATAAATATATCAGTATTTCTTTGTTATATACTTTGTTATATAAATTGTTATATGCTACAAAGAGACGTGCATTTAGATAGCAGAGATAATGCTCCATGCAAATGCAAGGAAAAGCTGAGATGTACAGAAAAAATGCTGCCTACAGAAAAAGGCAACACGAAACAACCACAAGTCTCTGCTGTGACTGAGCCGTGATCCCCTCTCCTCAATCTTCCTTTTTATTTTCTCTTCCTTCAGCCAAAGAGGCCTGAGTGAACTACGCGTGTAAAATAGTCAGCACTGAAGAAAAAAGCTTGATTTGAAATAAAAACACTGTAAAGTTTTTCTTTTATGTATGTGCAAAAAGTAGAAACAGAAACCAGCTTAAAGCTTAACGGCCTCTAAAATTGTAACCTCCCCTGAAACTTCCACTTCACTGCTTTTCATTTTCTATCATTATATGCGTCACTGGATGTTGGAATCTCTTGCTGATATTTAGCCCCACTTTTAAACCGTGTTTCCTGCAAAAACAAGTTATTAAGATGGCACAGCGAAAGCTGATTGGAGAGGCTGACGTGCCATCCTCATCTGCTTCTATTGTTGTCTTCAACACCTGAACCGTCAGTGAGCTCAGGCATGTTTTGTGGGGTTGGACCGGGATAAACAGACAGCTGCATCATGCTGCTGATTGCGCGAGCACGCTGTGAATACTCGGTTGATCATAATTACTGAGGGGTTGGAGAAAAATGACCACTGCGAAAGGCAGATGGGAGTGTATCCACACACCTCCCATCTCACACTCATTCATAACAGCCCTCCTGAACAACAGCCTTAAATGATTTTAAATGAAGTCGAGTTCCTTTGGGTGAGATCATTAGAATCTGTGTTCAGAAGAAGTCGTGCTTGGCATTTGTGAAAAACATCTGAATGAAAAGAAAAGAGTGTGGACTTTAAATAAGATGTGTGTACATAGCTGCACCTTCCTGTCGTGTTCAGGTCAAAACCGACCGATTTACAACTTTAAAAACTCATAAATATTGTGTTTTACATCCAATTGCCTCGAGACCTTATGACATCCTCAACACTACACACTTGAACATATAAAAGTGGTGAGCACCTCTTTTGTTAAATTTTGAGTGTTTTAATCAACTTTGTTACATCTGTGGTGTTCCCAGTCAAAAGTGACCGCCATAGAAAATGAATGGGAATCCACCCCCACCCACCGTCTGCCATCTATAATCCAGTTTTGAGATCCCTTCCCAGACGCCTCAGGAAATCACATGATATGGTGGGGCTAGGTTGCACGAGCTCACCCGAAACCTTGGCTGATTGTGACCTACACCCGTTTTCACACCTTGGCTCATGTGATTAGGTAGAGGATCATTAAGGGGTCCTTTTGTCCCTCTTGGGGGAAACTTCCACAGGGTTTAAATCTGGGACTCTCCACCATTTGACCTTAGAACTGAAGAAGCTTCTCGGATGAGAGGTGAAACGTCTTCAAGCAACTTAGAGAAGTCCAGACGCTTTTCTTTCCAAGCTCCTTAGACTTAAGATCTACTGTAAATTTACACCAACGAGTCTGAGTTACTTTTATATTCAAACAGCAACATACATGCCTGGCAAATGATGTCAGCACAGAAGTGCAATTCTAGCAAAATATAAGAGCTAATACAAGACTTCTGCACAGTACTGTATGTGTTAAATTTGAGCGCAAACACTAGCTAGAGATGTAATCATTTCACTTTCTTTAGCTTTAGCGTTTTTGTTATTACATGACAGTGAAACCAAAACTTAGTGCCAAACTACCTAAACAAAAAGAAAGCATTAAAACTTGAGTCTTATTTGTGTTGTCTTGGTGTGAAAGGTTATTGCTGATGTGTGGGAAGATATAAATAAGTCGAAGAAGTCAAAAATAAAAAACAGTTGGAGAATCATTGTGAGTTTAATGCAGGTTTTTTTTGTCTTTGCAGACATCACTGACATTTTAAGCACATTCGCTAAAACTGATTTTGATAAGACTGGTAAATAGCTAATAAAATAACAATCCCCTGTCACTGATGTTGTGATCCAACAAGTCAGTTTCATCTTTTTTGTATGACGCCTAAGAACTAAGAACATACGTCTATTTTGAGTGTGTGTTCTCCAAGCTGTATGTCCCACATGGCTGCTTGTTTTTCTGCAGTGCTATCAGCCTCTTCATCACTGGGGCATATGTCTTCATTACCATATCTGACTGGCCCGCTAACACGCAGGTGGAGGAAGCATCAATCACCAGGAGCAGCAGATAACAGAATGGATGGGAGAGAAGCATTGATTGAATCCTTGGGGGGCTAAACCAAAGTCATGTTAAAGAAGGGGGTTAATGCTTCAAGGGCCACTTGAGGTGGTTGTACTCTGGTAACATTCCTATATAAAATTAAGCTTGTCTAGCTCCTGTGTCATTAAGCAGTTTAATCTGATTCCTGCAGCATCTGTTTCACTATTTGTGGAGGATTTTCTAGATTTCAATTTTAAATCTACAAGTTTCTGGCCGGACTCTAATATTTAAGTGACTAATGTGAATTTCCGAGTATGCAGTTGTTAACAGAGTTCAATTGTTGACAGTTTATCAGTTAACTGCCACATTATTACAAACAGATTGCATATAATTGCCAACTTGATCCTATTCAATCACAAACTGATAGCAGACTCTGTCTTATTACCATTTTATTTCCGTCTTGATGCACTAAAGTTACTTTGAAGACAACAAGTGGTCACAGCCACTGTTTTCCTGAGTGTGAAGCATCATTGTTTGTTTGTTTTTTATTTTAAAAAGTGAATATAAATATAAATAATCGTTAGATCACAACCAATCCAATGCATTTCAAATAAATCTAACTTCCCTTTTGGGTTGCAACCAGGTTGCGCATTTTTCCTATGCACAATCTGATTGTAGAGATTATTACAGATGTGCAAAGCCAGCTACTTAATTGACTATTACTTATAAGCTTTTTAAGAAAAGTAGTAGAACTTCAGTTGAGAAAAGGTAGATTAAAAAAAACTAACTCAGATACAATTATGTGAATAACACTGATTCTGTCAGGGATCCTGGGTCTGAGCGACCCAGGATCCCTGAGCAGTTATGGACTGGTTATATTATATGTATTTTTGGTGTTGCTGCCCCTCTTCTCCATGTTTGTAGATATGAGTGTGTGTGTGGGTGCAGGTGTGTCTGAACTCTTGTTTACAGGCGCCTTCAGGCCTGGTGGGTGTGGCCCTGCTAGAGGACTGGCCACACCCGAAGCCACACACCTGCTGCTGATCAGGGCTTGTCGGGGGAGCTACTTAGGAGAGTCTTGGCGGTCCCACCGACGCAGGATCATTACGTTAGACTCCCAAGTCCGTGTGTGTGTTTAGGAAGTGCAGATCGTGTGTGTGCCCGTGGGGGTCAGTGTTTAACGGCTGCCTCTATTTTGTTCCTACAGGAGGAACGTGGAGAGGAAGGGCAGCATGCACAGGGTGTACAGAGTCACGACAGCGGGGATCACGAACACGGACGCCACTGGAAGACACACGCGGGAGCCTTGGGGAGCACGGGGATTAATTGTGCATCGATATTTACCACACTGTAAATAAACGCACTGTCTACACACAGAGCGCCGCGCCTGGGTCCTCCTTTCCCCACGGTCTGCCAGCCGGACCGTGACAGATTCATGATATGTAACAGCATCCTGCATTTAAAGATGGAATTTACTTTCAGTCAGTAAACTGGTTGACCTTTGACTATAGTGTAGTCATTCACCACATTGGTTTACATGCTTCTGTCTTTGTTTTCTAGGCGTTCACCTTTAACTAGTTGACTTGATTCTTTAAGCACCAGTGTGCATCTACAGAAGAACAGGCCAAATACAGACAAAGCATTCAACATTCACTCAGGATTAGATTTGTTGTTCCAAAGAAACGGAATCAGAGGGAGCTCAGAGGATGTGAGCCAGGGTTGGTGATTGTTTCAGTCGGGGATCACTGGGATTGGACGCAGGAGGGATAAAGTAGGCATTGATTAGCAGGGACTGGTTGGGATCTGGGCTCATTTCATTGGCTTACCTTTTTGTATCTGGGGACAGGAAGCTGTTTTGTTCCAGAAAACATAAAGCACCAAGACACAGAGTCGATGACAGCATGCAAAAGAGTAAGGTGGAGAAGAAAAAAAAGAAAACATTGATCATATGAAATTAAAGTTATAGGTGACAAAAAAACAAAAACGTGCAAACAACAGAGGAGAAAAACAAAAACAAAGCAGTCTGCAGTGTTTCAGAAAGATTTTTTGGTTTACACAGCTCAGAGCGCTGCTGAAATGCCAAATGTGGAAACAGTCTGAGTGGAAAATAAATGATTAAAGCAATAGTGGCTTTGAATGGCCTGTTGATACAGTGAATATAATTGAAAATCCATTAATTTATTTGTTTATATTTGGCTATGTTAATTGGATTTGAGACAATAGTTAGTGACAGTTTGAGACAAGTCTGAGTTACGCAAACAGCTCTGTGTTGTTGTGCTGCTGGAGACTTTAACACAACAGCTCACACAGTATCCAGATCATAGTAGAGAAAAATAGGATTTCAACACATGCAACATGAAAACACGTCCATATGGTGAGAGGGACACCTTCAGTGGCACTCATGGCTGTTTCTCACAGTCAGGAGTTAAAGTGGGCTGGAACTATTTAAGACTATGTTATTAATAAGTAAATAAGTCTGAGCGGTTGATTCATGCTCTGTAATTTAAGTGAGTTTATTTTTCAGCTCATTTCTTTTCTGGCGTGGCTCTTTTGTGAGCGGGTCACTCATTTCATAACCCCTCATTAATGCCGCTGTTGTGACAAGGTCTGTTTGATCGTTTGCTAACCTAACCAGCAAGACTTTTGTGCCTCAACAAAAAAACCAAGGAAGGATTTCACAACACCCTGGATGAAAATGTGCTGCACTTTCTATCTGCTACCGCTGGACATGCCTTCCAGTCAATACTATGGGCACACTCAACCCATAATCCTCCTAAAAGACATGCATTCTCACATTTTGATTCTCATCCCTGTCATGCATTCATATGTGCAGGTCGATGAAGTGGGATCACTAAAACAAAAGATTAGGATATCTTTGTTTTGCTAGCTACTGACACAGAGCTATATTCCTAGTTAGAGAGAACACGTTCAATATGAACAGGTGATCGCTTCATTGTCAGACATGACAAAAAGAAAGTTTGTTTAGTTACAAATTTGTTAATTTAGTTTAGTTAAGTCAAAGTTAAAAGATCACCCTGAAAAGGTATCTTGTTAATTCATGTTGTTAAATGTACTTGACATTAAAGAATATGTTAGTTAAAAGCTGTGTGAGAATCCTGGACACTGCAATTAGAGCAGGCTGCAGAACCAAGCTGCTTACAGTATTTTGGTGACTCTTGTAGTAATAACATGGCACTTTGATGGGGTAGGACATATTCACTGTTTGTTTAAGAGTAGCAGTTACCAGCTTGAATTCAAACTTGCATTGAAAAGCATGGCATGAAATAGGAGTATGATTAATCTGATAACAATCTTAATATTGCTCCACAGAGAACAAATAAATCTATCCAAGCTCACAGTAAGTAAAAGTTGCTTCTTTGTTTGCTTGTTTGTTTCTTTGGCCAGAGCTGGGATCTGGTTAGCTAAGGTATGTATGGACACCTACCCTGGGTATTCCTAAGCTGTTTACCACAGGACATTTTTAAGCTTAAAAGGAGCAGAAATGTAAAAGCAACATATTATGCTCTAACTTGTGTTTTGACTCTGGGTATCTTTGTACGATGAGCCCTCGTTCCTGTATAAAGACACCATATCAAATCTGCATATCCACCAGCTGCATTGAACAGTCTTTTCTTTTGAGGTTTTGCAGATTCTGTGTCCACTAACTAGGTTTCATTGACTTGTCAGCATGATGACAATATTGGATCAGTCGGTGAACCCTTGGCAGCCACCTGTAGCTCTGCAAAATGTGTACTCCCCAACCAGTTGGCAAAACCCTCTTTGTGATGGGTTTGACATATTGCATATTGCTACGGCAGCAGTGTGAATGGATGTGATGGACTTGTCTACAAACACGGTCCAGCTACTCTGTTAGCTGTTGTGAAATGTGAAAGGTGCCACACACACCGAAAATAGAGGAGGTTCAGTTTCAAAGTAAAAGCTGCACCTTTTAAACATGTTAACATGTTCACTGGAGCGCTGAGGCACAGCTTTTACTTTGAAAGTTAACATTTTCAATTCTGGTTTGCACTTTTTCAAGTTGCAATGTCGCTCATAGTTAGTATGTATTTGCAGACAATCAATCAGCATTAGTCTCTCCCTTCAGAGGCAGATTGTAGTTTACTTTTTAAATATTAGTGCATATTTCATGATTTTGATTATGGATGCATTGAGTAAGGATATAATTCTGAACATCAAGAAGGCATGCTGCAACCTCCTGTTTTCAGTCATTACGTTAAGCTAAGGTATTTATCTCCTGGCTCCTAATTTATACTTAACAGAAAGAAGACTGATATTAATCTTTGGGGGGGTTATTCTAAGTTATTCTAAGGATGATGACGCACAAACAATAAATGACCTTAAAAGCCTTCATTGACAAATAACATTTATAATTTATCATTTAGCTAGCAGACACTTGCGGTCTAAGGCTTTACAGCACCAGATATGAATAACAATTGATTTTGCTGCAGCCATGATATAGCAGCTTCTTACTCCATCCTTTCTGAATAGTCTTGTGGGAATGTCTGCCGGACACTTTATCAATATTTACAGCTGAAATATGACAAGTTGAAAAGTACGAAATGAATAATTTCTCTAATGTTTCTGATGTTCCTCCGTTTACTGTGATGTGGGGAATAAAAATGAAGACAAGTTGTTTCATAAACCCTTATTATGTAAAAGCTGTGACATGAAAACAGTTGCAATTATTGATAATGAATTTTTGAAAAAGACCAAAAATATCTCTAAGAAACCAAGTGTGTGTGTGCTCTCACATGAGTGTGTGTACTAGGAAATAAAAGGAGTCTCTGCAGCAGAAAGAAGAGACTGGAAGATTATGTGGAGTGTTAATGTAGGTTTTAGTGTAGGTCGTGGTAAATTAGCAGGTCTGGGTTTTGCAACTGCATTGTAAGACAATGTGAGGCTCACTGATAAGTGCAAAAAACTCCAGAAAAATCACCAACTGTGTTTCTTCCTCACAGTGATGTGAAAATGATTCAGCAGCTTGTAAAACCACCTTGAGCAGCAGTAACCCGAAGTCATCATTTTCTTTATGACTTTATCAGTTTCTCACATTGTTGCTGAATGACTGGAAGGTACCCAGGCTGCAAATCAAGCCCTCCACCACTGTGCTGTGTTTTCACCAAAAATGCCACTGTCCACATTTAGCTGACATGTGGAGTCTTTATAAGGAGATTGGAGGGGTTGTGTTGGCGTAATTTGCAGCTAGCATGCCATGGTGCACATCCCATTTGGACCTTTAAAACACACTGCACACACAGCGGTAACCCTGATCACTGACAAGTGATGACCTAGGAGTGACCGATCAGTTTCCCTGAGAGTGATTGGCCACTCAGTGCATCACGGCACACTCCAGAAAGGACACCTTGTTTGCAACTGAACCATGCGAGTGTCATGTTCTGTGTGCAGTAGGCAGGAATGGTGGACCCAAAGTGCAGACTCACAGAGGCAAAAAGGTGAACTCAAATGCAGCTTTATTGCTGGATAGCAAAAAAACAAACAACTGGCTAAACTGAGAATACAGACAACTAAACAGGCAGGCTGATGGAACACACAGTATGGGATGAGGGAGATCACAACATACACAGCAAATTCAAAAGTGTTAAATGTTTTGGTGTTAGTAGTCTTCTTGCAAAAGTAGAGTTAATTTTACTCTAAGCAGAGTCACATTCTTTTAATGTAACTCTGAGGTGTAAAATGATAGTAGTTAAAACCGAGTGTTAAAAATTAGTGTTTCTATGTCAAATCTGGAGGTGTTACAATGGAAACATTAACTCTTGACCTCTTAACTCTGAACTCCTACAGGGGCTATGACACCAACATAGTAAATTCACAGACTCCGCCCCCAGCACCATAGGCTCCAATCGAAGCTGAAGTGAAGCAGTTTCAGAACATTTTGCTCTACATATTTGAGTTGTTTGCCATGCTTGGTAAGTCATTTTTTCAAAGATTGTTTCAATTATTATTATTATTAGCAAAACTGAAGAACTAGAAATCACAGAGCAAAGAGCTAGAGCAAGAAATACAAAACTAAATAATAGACACACTAAGTCACCGTCTGTAGACAAACAGGTTTGTTCCCTAACACCGAGTGCCTTTGACATAGTGGTTTAAATTGGCATCCCAATAATGAGAACAGGCTACATCTGTCCAGTTAATTATTCTCTATTTTTACTCCTTTTTATTGTAATTTTAGCGTATTTACATTTTAAAATGGTTCACAGAAACACCAGGATAACATTATGTGTAAGCTGAGATAATAGTTGTATCTCTAAAAAAGAAACAAAACACATAAATTTGTATTGCACAGGAGGAGGTCGGCTTAGACCTGGGAAAACAGTTGGGGAAACCCCGACTGACGATGCTTTCAGTATTTATTTATTCTCCACCACTGTTTCGAAACACACTTCAGTAACAAATTCCTTAATTTCCTAGATTTTTGTGGGGTTTTTTTTGCAAGTGCAGGATTTGAAACAGGATTTAAATCTACGCTTTGACTACACTTCCTTGCTGAGTGAATTGGAGTGTTGTGAAATTTGTGATCCTCTGACTTTTCATCTAACTATGGATTTTGTACGATGATGCGCTCAGACTCACTGTGTGTCTTTCTCATGCCTGGGAAAAGATGATCTCAAAAGATGATCCAAACACACACACACACACACACACACACACACACACACACACACACACACACACACCATATCCAAATACAGGCTAACTAAAAGAGTGGGCCCCAACACTGAAATTCAATCATACAAGAGATATGCCATCATTCCCCACTTTAATGTGTTAAAGTTGTCCACCTGATGCTCTGATTCCAAGGCGGCCG